GGAGGTAAATGAAGTTAAGGCATGCTCAGAGGACATGGTAGCAACAATATTCTGGCTAGGGTTGTCCCGAGACACTAATCTGTATCGATCTTTGACTAAGCAAACTCCGGTGGATATGAAGGAGCTAATGTCTCGAATAAACAAGTATGCGAAGGTGGAAGAAGAGTCAGTTATGCCCAAGCCTAAGGCTCTCGCGTTGAAGAAATAGGATAAGGAACCACTCGTTAGGAGATGAGCACCATCCCTTATTCCAAGACGCATGTCCTTCCAAAGGGTGAGCACAGTCTTCAAAGAACCCATTTACAAGATACTTCACAAGATAAAGAAGGAGCATTTTTTCAAGTGGCCACCCAAGAATCAAGGGGATCCGTTCTCCAGAGACTCGACGTCTCGGTGTTCTTACCATCAGGATGTTGGGCATCTGACTGAGGACTACAAGGTGTACAAATCATTCCAAGAGCAGCTGGTCTGAGAAGGTCATCTCAGGAAATTTATTGATGGCGCAGCCCTGAGGGGCTCGATAAGGGAGGGAGTGAGCATAACCCAAGAAGTGGTGATCGTGATTGAAGTAATACACGCTTACACGGTGGACAAACCGCCTTACAATTCACTCTAAGCCGACCTCCAGAGAGTTGTGCAAGCCATCAAGGTGGAGGAAAGCAGCTTTAGGGGGGCAATCATCTAAAAGACCTCCTCTTGAAGTCGAGACCATTCATTTTTTTGACGCCGGCCTAGATGGGTTGGCCCTTCCACATGAAGACGCCCTAGTGATCACCCTTCGGTTTGAGAAACTTGATGTCAAAAGGATCCTGGTAGACTCGGGAAGTTCCTCCAAAGTAATGTACGACAACCTCTTTTGTAAAATGGGTTTCGCTCAGAAAGACTTGAAGCCCGTGAAACCCCCCCCCCCCCTCGTAGGGTTCAACAGTTCATATGTCCTTCCCCTCGAAAAGGTTACACTCATGGTCACCACTGGGGTTGTCACAGTCCCGATTGAATTTGTGGTGATAGACTCTAACTCCCCATCCAATGCCATTATGAGCAAAACATGGTTACACACAATAAAGGCAGTGCATTCATCTTATCATCAGAAGATAAAATTTCCCATACCAAGGGGAGTTATTGAAATTCGCGGCGATTAAGCATCATCAAAGAGCTATTTTTACACAGTAGTAAAGACTAGGCTCAACGCTAGGTCCCAAAAGCATGACCCCGATGTAGTGTTAGCCAAATAGCAATCACAGTTCGATTGGCCAGGTGTTGATGATCCCATTACAGACCCAGCCAATTAGCCTACAGAGGCTGTGGTTAAGGTCCTTTTAAATCCCAGGGACAAGGAGAGATTTTTCTTGATTGGGGCTTCGTTGGGCAACACCGAGAGGTCTAATATGATGGACTTCCTTTGTCGGAATGCCGACGTCTTCACATGGACCCCAACCGAGATGACATGGATAAGTCCTGATGTGATATGACATTAACTTTATGTTGATCTAGCGTTCAAACCCGTGAAGCAAAAGGCTCGGAGGTTGGTGCTTCACCACGTATAGACGGTTGACGAAGAAATAGACCGGTTACTCGGGGCTGGATCAATTAGGAATGTCTAGTTCCCCGAGTGGCTGTCAAAGACAGTGTGTGCGAGGAAGAGAGGTGGAAAGTGGCAAATTTACGCGGATTTTACAAACTTGAACAAGGTGTGCCCCAAAGATGAGTACCCTTTGCCAAAGGTCACTTAGCTTGTTGATGTGACCGCGAGGCATGAGTGTATTAATTCCATGGATGCCCGAGAAGGCTATCATCAAATCCCGTTGCACAAATTCAATCAAGAGAAAACGACGTACATCACATCCTGAAGGATATATTGTTACACGGTGATGTCGTTTGGTTTGAAAAATGCAAGTGCTACTTATCAGCGCCTGATGAATAAGATGTTTAAGTGATAACTCGGCATCACAATGGAAGTATATATTGATGACGTATTGGTAAAGAGCAAGGTGAAAGCCGACCATCTTCGGGACCTCGAGGTCACCTTCGCCGTGCTCCGAAATATGCCTGAAGCTCAACGCTTCGATGTGTGTGTTTGGGGTAAGCTCGGGCAAATTCTTGGAATATCTTGTTACTCATCGTGGCATAGAGGTCAATCTTCATCAAGTACAGGACATGCAAGATATACAAAGGCCAAAGATCGTCAAGGACATACACAAATTAACAGGGATGCTAGCGGCTCTCAACCGGTTTGTCTCCAAGTCCTCGGATAGATGTAAGTCGTTCTTCGCCATGCTTAAAGGGGCAACGAAGAGATATTGGGGTGAAGAATACGATCGCGCACTAGAGGGAATCAAGGAGTATTTGAGGTGCCCTCCAACTCTATCCATTCTGGTGGCAGGTAAAGTTCTAAACCTCTACCTATCCGTCTCAGAATAGGCAATCAATGGGGCTCTTATAAGGGAGCGCAATGGGATACAGAGGCCAGTCTATTATGTAAGCAAGGCCCTACTTGATGCTGAAACTAGGTATCTGCCAATGAAAAAGCTTATACTAGCCTTGGTCTTCTCGACAAGGAAACTCAGACACCATTTATAGGCCTATCCCATAGAGGTATGACCGACCGGCCCCTAAAACCCATACTTCACAAAGCAGACATGTCAAGACGACGGGCCGTGCAGCTAAGAGAGTTCAAGATAAGCTACAAGCCCTGTAATTCCATCAAAGGACAAATCCTTGTTGATTTCATTGTGGAGTTCTGTGTGTTCGAGTCTCCACCAGAGGGGAAACTAGCAGCTTTTGACCATGATGACATTTGGAGTTTGCATGTGGATGGATCCTCGAACACAAGGGGGGTAGGTGTAGGTGCAGTCTTGGCCAATTTTGGAGGATTTATAGTGGAGCGAGCTATTAGACTCGGATTCAAAACATCTAATAATGAGGGAAGATAAAGGTTGAGTACGGTAAGGCACCTCCATATTTTCTGCGATTCCCAATTGGTGGTAAACCAAATTAATAGGGACTTCAAAGTCCGGGATGACAGGATGAAAGCCTATCACCAGAGAGCAAATTCGAGAATGGAGAAGTTCAAGAAGATAGAGGTGTCCCAAATTTTGAGTGACCACAATAGCCACACCGATGCATTAGTTTGCCTTGCCTTGGCCTTGGCTTCAAATGCAACTCAGCACATTGTCTTTGACTACTTGGAGAGTCCGAGCATAAGGGACTTAAATGTTGAGGACGTATTGTCGACACGCACCCAGGACATGTCGCCAAGTTGGAAGGACCCCATAATCAAGTATTTAATGGACGGGATACTCCCCGAGCATGTCAAAGAAGCCAGGAAGGTCAAACTAAAAGCTCCCAAATTCTGGATGTCCCCTGATCACAAGCTATATAGGAGATCCTTCTCTAGACCGTAATTACTTTGTGTTCCCAAGGATAAGGTGGAACCATTGTTGTACGAGGTTCATGAGGGAGTGTGTGGAAGTCACCCTCGCACACTATTCGATGTCTCAAGGGTATTGGTGGCCATATATACAGAAATATGCCAAGAGGTATGTTCAGAAATGTGATAAGAGCCAAAAGTTTGCTCCCATCATCAGTTAATCAACAGGAGACCTAAACCCTTTTCACAGGTCCTTCGCCTTTTATCAGTAGGGTATGGATATAGTGGGGGCCTCCATTGAGGGCTCATTTGGGCAAGAAATTCCTCTTTGTCAATACTGACTACTTCACGAAGTGGATTGAATCCGAGCCCTTAAGTCGTATTCAGGATGTGGAAAAAAAGAAATTCATATGGCAGAATATGATTACTCAGTTCGGCATCCCTCGAGCCATCGTCTTTGACAATGGAACCTAATTCAATAGTAGGCCATTCAGGAAATTCTGTTCGGGATTCAGAATGCGTAACTATTATTCCACCCTAGGGTATCCCTAATGTAATGGGCAAGTGGAGGTCTCCAATAAGACAGTTTTGGCTGGAATAAAGAAGAGGTTGGAGAGAGCTAAGGGCAGATGGACCGAGGTGCTTCTCAATGTCCTATGGGCATATAGGACTACCCCAAGGACTTCTATCGGGGGAAACTCCCTATACTATGACATATGAGGTTGAGGCTGTCATTCCTTTAGAGATGGGGCTCTCGACTATACAAAGTCAAACCTTCAAGTCAAGAAACAATGATCAAACACTAGCTAGGGATCTTAATTTGGCTGAGGAAAGAAGATAATCAACATCTATATAGCTAACCAAGTATCAAGGGGAGTTGTCAAGGTAGCATAAAAAGAAAGTCCGAACAAGGAGTTTTCAGGTGGGGGATCTGGTATTGCACAAGGTTGCGGGCAATACTCGAGAACCCACTGATGGGAAGCTTGGCCCCAATTGGGAGGGTCCGTACAAAATCATTAACATATGAGGCACAAAGGCATATCGACTGCAAGACATGGATGGAAGAGATATAAACCGACCCTGAAATTTATCAGATTTAAAGAAATATTACTACTAAGTTGATTTCAAGAGCCAAATCTCAACATTAATAGGAGCCTCAGGGCTCAGTCATTAAGGGTAATGCCCTAAGAGAGATAAGCCTTCATCCTTGGAGCACCGCCCTCGAAAAGATTAACATAAGTCTCGGGCTCGATCGTTAGGGGTAAGGCCCCGAGAGCGGTAAGCCTTCATCCTTAGAGCACCGCCCTCAAAAATATTAACATAAGCCTCAGACTCAGTCGATTAGGAGTAAGTCTCCATACTTGTGCGTTTTTGAAAAAAATTTCATGAACCTCAGGGTTCAAAAATTAGTTACACATTATTTACCAAAATAAAAAAGAAGACACTACAAAGGAAGGAAAATGCATTAATAAAAGGGAGGTCGTGTGTCCTCCAGGCATACAAAAGAAACAAAATTAAAGAAAAAGTTCAAGTTTCTAGTGGTCCTTAGGTCTAGCCGCCTTGCCTAGGTCGCCTTCGAGCTCTTCGCGCTGAGCACTAACTGGTGCCTTCTTAGAGACCCTTCGCCAACACCAAGGATTTCATAGAGTACCCCAAACTCGGGCCCACCTATATTGATGATGGGGGTGCCGATGATGGAAGGATATCTGGGATGCATGGGAAGAGTGGGAGAAGGAAGCCAAAGGGGAGACATTCCCTCTGATTCATTACTAACAGTGATCATCACTATCTCTGTCGTTGTCTCCCCTACTTCTTTAGCCTGTTGTTTCGGGGGAGCCGCTTTGGCACTTGGTTGGACATCTGTAGGGGCCGAGAGCTCAGTAACTCCTTGCTAAGGCATGTTATACATCACAAAGAGCTCGAAGCCGACAAAGACCCCAGAAGTTCAAAGCGCGTCATCCGAACCTTGCTTGAAGGATTTCCTCTTCCCATCATAATAGGTTGGGATGAATTGCTCATGGCACTATTTGTACATGTCTATGAAGGTCGTGTTCAATTTCTTGGTCTCCCCAGCCTTGTCTCCCTCCAGTGCCTCCACTTTTGAGGTTAGGGTAGCGCAGTTAGCTTCGACTTCCAGCAACTTGGCCTCAACAACAGAAACTTTCAGCTCGGCCTCCTCTATTCTCCTTACTGCTTCAACCTCGACCTGCTTGCTATTGTCCAACTTGGAGGTTAGGGCCTCGACTTTGCGGATCAGGTCGGCGATACTTCTGGACTGATCGACGACCGTCCTTTCCACTTGGCCAATGTGGATATCCTTCTTTGCAAGCTTGGCTTGAGCCTTGTCAGCTCTGCTCCTGTAAGCCTAGAAACGATCAATGATGACCCCCATTTATTGGCAAGCCTAGAGAAAGAAAGCCTAATTGTGAATACACAATCACAACAGGAAGACGTCAGAGGACAGAATTAGTAAGTGCTTCTTACCACCAAGTTATGCCGGGCTACTCCCTAGAGAAGGCGATTGTCTCCATAGTCATCCAAAATTGCCATGTCGGCGTCGAAGTGCAAGGTCCCGCTAACAACCAGAGCCACGTCAGGGGAATGGATAATGGAGTCAGACTCTAGGACTGTCTGCCCCTTTCTTATGACGGCTTAGGGGGCCCATTCACCAAAACCAGAGGGTGTCGGGACGTCATAACACTGTTTGACTCGACGCTCAACAGTTGGGTCGACCTCCCGACCACGGTGCTGCCTTTGCCGATTGCCAATTCATTCTGAGGGTTCATCTTGGTGCCCAATGCTGATGTTGAAGCCTCAGGGGTATTTCCTATTGTTGTTGATGTTGTTGGGGCTCCTGCTGACGCAAAGGAGGAGTGGGGTAAAGGTACGTTGATCGGCGCGATGCCAGAGGGATTACTAGACCTCAAGATTAGGGCCCTCCTACCAATGGGGGGATGCAAAACATTTTGGCTGAAGGAGAGTGTGTTGGAGTGGATTCATAGTCACGGCGGGGTCTTCTTCAAGGTACTTCTCTCCTTCTTCTGAGTAACGGTCCACCAAGATGGAAGGGTCAAAGATGGGAGAATCTGGTATGGCCAGGGTGATTTCCAAGGAACACTTGAGCTGCCCAAGCAAAAGGGTCGCCAAGGTTGTAAGACCAGACTTTGATAAGATCGTCAAAAGCAACAAAAGCTTTCAAAGGTTAGGCAGCGTCCCTGTTGTATCCCTTTACAAAGAAAAACACAAGGATAAAAATAGAAATAGTGGCCAGAGGGTGATGAAATTGGCAAAAGGCCTACCTGGATCCCTCGATACTTTGGGGTGAAGAGGCTATCATACTCTGATCCTTTACTCCTCCCCCATCTACCGCTGAGCATGATGAGATCCTGGGTGTTCCCTTTGTCCGAGTCAAACATATGTGTCACCAAGTACATGGAGGGGTCTTGTGCTTGTAAGTAGTATCTATCGTTGTTGATTAACTTCAAGTCATAGCAAAATAATGTCTCATCTACCCCGAGGTTCACTCCTAGTCGAGCATTTAGGGCAACCACGCCCATGAGTATCCTAAATAAGCTAATGCAGCACTGGAGGGGGAAGAGCCTCGGGTGCATGAGAACTCTCAAGAGAAGGGGAGGAAGAGGAAACCTAACCCCCCCTCCATAATAGTCTTAGTGTGGAAGGGCATAAGTTCTACACTACCCACGTCAGCCCTTTGAAACCTGGGGTCGAAAACGAAGGTGAAACAGGATTGGGAATGTTGTAGGTGGCAATAAAAACCTCTATGTTGGTATGAGTCACTGGGTTCTCCTCAACCTGTATGTATCATTAGGCCTAATTGACCCTTACAACCCTAGTTCTTCGTATGTTGGCCATTAAGGATTTATATAAAGAAGAAGAAGATAATAGGAAAGAGGAAGAAGAGAATGTGAAGAGCTACTTAGGAGGTAAGTACAGGTTGAGAGGTCGAAGATCCAAGGAATATCGAATGAGCCACAAATCCCCTATTTATATTGACTGCTACATGGGCAAGAATCGAAAAGGCAAGCCATCAAGGGGAAATTTAAAAATCCAGGCCAATCGCCCTTAAAATTTAGGCGTGCTGAGGAAGTCTCCACTCTCCGTGCACCATTTGTGCCATGACGCAAGGAAAATGGAGGTTAGGGGGAATTTGATGGTACTTTAGGTGGATTGACAGTAATGAATGAACACGTGGACAGTTACAGTCGTTATGGAACTCAAAGGGCGCCTGGGAAAAGTGCTGAGGAGTTATAACTTGGAAGGCCGAGGGTGACCCTCAAAGCCTAGCATTAAAAAGGATAAGACAGCTCATTAATGGGGTTTTGAGTGACTGTGACAGGGTTATTAATGAGAATTTAGGTCCTTGAGAAATGTGAAGACAATCATTATTACAAGGCATTAAGTGTCATTATGCTGACTTGATGTCCTCGGCGAACCCCGAGGGTGCTTATTCTCGAGTAGTGAATGCTCGAGCGTAGGTGTGAGGCACCAAGCAAAGGTATTTAATGACCGGGGATTGGGCCATAAAGGCTCAATTGATGCTGAGTAAGGGTCCACTCACCTGAGGGGATTAGTCTTGTAAAGATTTGATGGGATGACACTCATTAGGCTTGGATATGAGTGCAAACCATTAATTTATGAGATGCGACTTAAAGACTTGTCATCATTGCAAACTCAGGTATAAATTCCCCTAAAAAAGATAGTCCAAGTTATGCAATTCCAATTCAGAAAATACTCTATTCATGACTCTTATGCCAATTGACTTGGGCTTCGGAGGAGAATAGTTAAGTACACACCCGACCCCCTTTTCCTAATCCTTTGTTTCAGGTTCAACGTCATTCAGGGCCATTTGCATATCATTATCTCAACTCGTTGTAGGAATTCACCCTTGCAGTTATGATGAACCTTCCTACTCTTTCTCATAGACCACATCTTAGTGGTCACTCTCAAACTCCAATCCAACCGAATTGAAAATAGGAACAGAGCTGGTGAAGGACACCGATTTGTTATTGTCAAGTATCCATTGTTGGCCTAGCATATAACACTGCCAGAGCAGAAAGAACCATGGTTCAAGGTATTGGCCGAGTTGTATCCGCCTCGGCCACCAACGATACGATACTGATACACGTTACGAAAAAACACAATTTTCGTCTGACTCGGTTGCGAATCGATACAACTCGGCCCAACTCTGTACCAACTCAGTTGGTTTGGTCAATTTCCATTCGTGTAATACCGATTTGGAAGCGAATCGTTCGACCACACTAAGAAAATAGAGTGTGCCAAAAAAAAAAAAGGCAAGCAGCAAAGCTTCGAGTTCCATGTGATATTTGTGATCACTCTCTCTCTCTCTCTCTGTCACTCACGTTCTCTCTCTAGCTCCCCAGTTCGCTCTCTCTTTCTCTGTGTTTGTTCGTTTAACTCCCCCTCCCTGGCTCCCCCCCTCTCTCTCTCTCTCTCTCTCTCTCTCTCTCTCTCTTTTTAACTCAAATTGAGACCCACAAAGCCAATATTGTTGTTTTATTTTTTCAATCTTCACTTCCTTAATTTATATTTCCCTCTATTATTTAGTTTAATGGATAAAATATTTTGTAATCAGAATATTAGACCAATACTAAATAGATAAAATGTTTGTATTTTCATAAAATTTAAAAGTAAAAAAAGATATATTTGTATTTACATTAATATATTATTTAGTAGCATTGGGATCTAATATATTTATCTAATTTACTATCTAGTATGTTCAAAAAAAAAATTTATTTTAAATTTTAATATTAATTATTAGTATGTTCAAAATAATTATAGTAACATATATTGAAAGCTTAACAATGTGGTGATATTTGATTCTAATTTTTTATAATGGCTCCAAAAAAGAGTGACATTTGTTGGGATCATACAACCAATATTTTCGATAACACCCTTGTAATTTCTTTTGATTATTCTGAATGTGTTAAATAACGTATACGGCGACTTTGAACCATGGAAAGAACAGCAACCCAAACATATTTTTCCGTTACTTCGGGTGGATCCAACATGGCCATGCCTACTTCAATGACATCCAGTGGTCGACCTTCCCTCACTAATGACCAAGCCCAATCTGTTAGAAGTAAAGCTTGGCCACCATTGACCGAAATAACAGCTTTCTTCCCACTCCGGAGCTCAAAAAAAACAACTCAAAGTACACATCACTTCTCTCTGTTAATTGTCCATACAAAGCATACTCTGGGGCAACATAACCTAGAGTTCCAGCCACACGAGTACTCAGTATGAGACAACCCATCTGGAGTAAACTTTGCCAAGCCAAAATCTGCCAGTTTTGGCTCAAACAACTGGTCGATAACGATGAGATGTATATTACTAGCTTTGACATCTCTATGGATGATTGCCACCTGCACTCCTTTGTGTAAATAAGCCAAACCATTTGCAATTCCTATAGCAATCTTTCTACAAATTGCCCAATTAAGTTTTTTTGCCCCTGATCCAAAAAGATGGTTACTCAGGCTTCCATTACCCATAGTATAACAGCTAAACTGAAGAATCCCAAACCTAATCCAAGAAAAATCATTAGAAAGTTTGGCTTCTTGAGTACTTGATCAAATATTTTCAGTGATACCCATTACAATTTATTGGTTTTAGGTGGAGATTTTCTGTCTTTTGGCTTGAGAGGAGTGGGGGAAATCTAATTTTTTTTTTTTTTTGGGACTTAAAGGCAATAAGTATTTGAAGTGAGAGAGAGAAGTCATAACTGAATTTTAAGAGATTGGATGGCTTGAATGTGACTATTGGACCAATACGCAGTATCATCGTGAGATTGATGCCTGGGGTCAATTCAAAATGGTTACACT